CTGTAACCCTGACCTTAAACCTAACCCTGGGACTAGCTTTGTACCTAACCATAATAGCAATCCTAACCTAAACTTAAGCATCGGCCTCAATCAAGACCTAATCCTGACACTAACCACAGCTCCTCACCTGGGCCCTAGCCAAGCCCTAGCCTTAGACCTAACTCTAGCACTCATCCAAGCATTAGCCTAAGCCAGGACCTAACCTAAAGCCAAACACTAATGCTAGCCCGAACCCTAGGCCTAGACCTCACCTTATTCTTAAGCTTTACCATAGACTTCTGCCAATCGTAACCCTAAACCTAATGTTAACCCTAACACTGACCTTGATCCTCGGCTAAACCTAACCCTACTGCTAACTTTAACCTTAATGCCAGTCCTAGCCTGAACCCTAAATTTAACCTTGAAACTAACCTGAAATGTCTTAGTTACTTTCCTCTCCTTGCTGAGACAAAATACTCAACATGCAAAGTGAAAGGGAAAAAAGTTTATTTAGCTCACAGTTTGTACCGGTTTCAGTCCATAATTGTTGGATCCAAGGCAGAGTGGCCTGGCAGAGAGGCACTGCAGGGGAGAAACCGCTCACGGCAGATAGAAGGCAGCAAAGCAAGCAAGCTAGGGTCAGGACAAGCTTCTTTCTGTGCCTTATTTTGTACCCAGACCACCATGACTAAGACTGGGCCAGGCCGCGTCTTCTCCGCCTGAGCCAGGCACCATGCCACAAGAAGAGTGAGCTCCTGCCTGTCTTCACAGTGGAGGACTTGGGAAAGACTCTCCTCCCCGAGGAAGAAGCAGCAGACTATCGGAAAGATCTAGCGATGACCTGCAAGCAGAGGGCGGAGAATACACAGGAAGAACTCCTCGAATTCCAGGAGGGAAGCTGAAATAGAGAGACAGCTGCAGCAAATTGAATGCAGGACTCGAGACCTCTCATGAGAGAATGGCCGCCTTCACAGGGAACTGGGAACTGGGAAGCCTCTGTAGGGTTTCAAAAGAACACTGAGACTATGAAGCTGAATTAGAGATACAGCTGCAACAAATTGAATGCAGGACTCGAGACCTCTTATGAGAGAATGGCCGCCTTCACAGGGAACTGGGAACTGGGAAGCCTCCGTAGGGTTTCAAAAGAACACTGGAATCTGGCTCTTGCCACATGAGTGGCCAGTGTGTTGAAGGCACTTATGGAGTGAACGGCTCCACGTTTGATGAACTCACAGCAACACACAAGTCAGATTGGCAGTGTGGAAAAGAGCGCAGAGAATTGTGGGGAAAATTGGAGGATCTGGAGTTAAAGAGAGGTCTTGCACATCATGGGATAATTCCAACTCAACAAAAGTATGCCAACGTTGCTAACCAGTGTAGTCACTCCTTTATGTCGGAGAAGATGGAGCAACAGATTTCTGTATTGTGCAACTTTTCAGTGGACTTCAGAATTGTTTCACTATTACAACAGTACTGTATCTACCCTGTCTCTAAGTAAAAGAAAAAAATAAGGGCTTCCATCCAAAGCTTGGACAGAAGATGGACTTCGCTGAACTTTGCAAACATCATCATTGTTTTTACCCTCTTAAAAACAGAATGCCAGGGATTTAGCTCAGTAGTTCCACCACCTGCCTTGCAGGCAAAAGATCCTGAGTTCAATCCCTGGTACCTAAAAAAAAACCCCAAACAAATACAAAAGCAGTCTTCAAAGATCTGTTGATGAAATTGCTATGTTAAAATTCCATTATCAGGGGTTCCTTATTTATTACTAGCAGAGAATATGACACATTTTTCAAATGTGAACAATCTTAAATTCAGCTTGTCTTTCTGCTAAGTTGATAAATGTATTATAGGAAAGGAAGGGGGAAAAAAAAGACTGTCATTTCCCTGTGAGTGTGTATAACTTCTTCCTTTGGATGACTTGACCGTAATTTGACATTGTTTCCTCTTTCACATCTGCATGAGCTAAGTGTCCATGTGGAAAAGGGCCATGAACTGTAATGGTCCCAGAGCAAACTTTTGTCTACTGGACTGAACATCTTTCCGAGAACCAGGTGGTCCTCTAGGTTGAAAATTAGGAATTAAAGGAGAACAGGTGAAAAACATGGTAGGAAAGGAAATTTTGGACTCATGCAAAAGTTTATGGTGAATCCAAATCAGTGTCCTGAATCCTTTGAAAACAGGCACTGGGACATCAGTACCTGACCAGTATGAGTTGCATACATCATTGAAAATACATACCAGAGATGTTTTAGAAAAGTCAGGCAAACATCCTTTTGCACCATAAGACATAAGAAAGACAACCATGAAATTGATCGCCAGGACTGAGAATCTAATTGGGGAAAGAGTTGAGCAAGCAGCTTGGATTGTTTGGATTTCTTGCCTTTTTACTACATATTTATAAAGTATTTCAGAAAAAGAAGATGTAGCCTCTGCGGGGGAAAATCCTTTGGCTCCATCTTAGATCCCTTCTCTTTGCTGACACCCAAAGTTAAAGGAGGGATGGTTTATTGGAGCTCATAGTTTGTACATGTTTCAAACCATAGTCAGCTGACTCCAAGGCAGGGTGGCTTGGCAGAGGGGCATCGAGGAGGAGAAACCGTCCAAGGTGTGGCAGGGCAGGCACAGGAAGCAGAGAAGCACAGATGTGCTGCAAACAGCTGCACAGCAAGAAGCCTGCCTTTATATTTTGTCCAGGCCGCCCGCTCCTTGGGTGGGGCTCCTTAATCCCAACATCAACCTCATCATCCCAACATCACACGTCCTACATCCAGCTACCTCGGAAAAAACCCACCTATGACTGCATAAGACTTTGGGGGAACATCTGGATACATACTAGCCTTAGACGTAACTATTACCCTAACCAGAATCCTGACAGTAACCCTAACTACAGTTCTATACTTACAGAATACTTACCCAGACTTCTCCCTAGCTGTATCTCTAGTACTAGTCCTAATCATAACCCTAAACCAAACCGTAATCATAGTTGTAGTGCGAGCCCTAATCCCAGCCCTAACCACCATTCTAACACTAACCCTAAAACATTACACAGCAGTATCCCTTACACTAAACATTTTGTGATCTTGTCATTATTTTCCTTCTGAATTAAAGACTCAGTTTAACACTGGTAATAGAGAAACCTGGTGCCAAGACCTTCTTTTACTTTTGTGCAGGGGAAAGATTAACTTCACTGATTTCGTAAGACATGTTCATTGAGTACTGATTGGAGGTCAATGGTGGTTTGAACTTGTTTCCCTACCGCTGCTGCTCCTCCGTGCCCTGCGTTGCATTGTTTCTACTGAGAATCCCACTGGAGTTTCACTGTGGCACTGAGGACAGGCTGTGCGTCGATCCACTCTGCAATGGATGGGAGCTCAGTGAAGCACACTTGTGCGTACGTCATGGTGCGTCGCTGAGGGGTCGCATGGGGTACTGTGTGTCACGCCTGGACCCGTCCTCTCTGGAACCATTAACCTGCTGTGCTTCCAGCTGGCGTGAAACAAGCAGCTTTGCCCTTCTGCCTTGATGGATCTGCTCTCGAGCCAGCAGACACAGCCTGAGTCTCATGAAACTGAGGCAAACCACGCTCTTCTGCTTAGGTTGTGGGTGGCAGGACCGGCCCCGGCGACCTAGTCCAGAAAAGACATGCCAGACATGGAGTCCTTTGGGGGACTACGTGTGATCGTGTCGTTCAGGTGCATGTGGAACAGTTTAAAGGGGAGGAATCGGAGAGGTTAGGAGATGTGTGCTGGATAAGCCCTAGAACGCCATGAGCAGAGTCTGATTGGAGCTCAGTAGACCGGATGCTGACACAACGCTCATAGGGAAGGCAAGGCTCGGGAGGTATCGCGGGGGGGACTCTTGGGAACTGGGCTGAAGGCCGTGCCTGTTACATTCTGGCAAACAGACCTGGTCTGTATTTTGCCCAGGTCCTGAGACTTTCATGTCCTGCGCACCTTCCCACCCTGAGACACAACTCCTGACAACCACAACGGAGAGGAGAGGTTCCCTGGGGTCACAGAGCTAGTTGGGGGTGACTGGCTCTAAGGCAGAAACGGTGGCAGGGGCCAGAGACAAGGCAAAGGTGCCCAGCGCCCGGCAGCCAGGGACCCGCTTCCAGCCAAGCCTCCCCTCACAGCAGAGACTCCACTGGGCTCATCGGGGCCTGACTCCTCCGCTGAGGACAGTGGCCCTGCCTTCTGGTCAACTTCCAAACACGTGAGACTCTGGAGGGCAGCTTTAGATTAAACTGTACCATTCCACCCTTGGTCCCCCAAAGACTCCTGTCTGTCTCATACAAAATGAATCCAAAAATAAATGAGTTATGTCTTAGAGTCAAGTTGATAAAATCCTACTTTCAGGGTGGCTGAACCTTCCCAGGGAGCGTTCTGACCAAAAGAAGTACCAGCGATTCCTACCACTAGGGGGCAGGGCACTAAGGAGAAGCCCTGCCGCGGGTCTCAATCTCCTGGGACCAACAGGACACAAGTGGACCAGAACAGGAAACAGGCAAGACTGAGAGAGAGCTGGGTCCTGGGCTGATCTCAGCTGCTCCGGCAGCAAAGACAAAAGCACCAAGGGCAGCCATTGCTGATTGGTGACAAGCGCGGGGAGGAGAGGAGGAGGACGCCTGGTGACGCGGTATCCCAGCAGGACCCCGAAAGGCAGGCAGCAGGGGCTCTCTGCTGGGAGAACTAGTGGTTAATGCAGAGGGAGACAGTTTAGTCCGAGTTAAGTCCACCTTGACCCGGCAGGGCCTGCTGCTTCCCGCACCGGGACTTCAGTCTCCGTAGCAGACACTGGCTTGGGATCGATCTGCACCGCCCCCTCTGCTCTCTGACATCCCCATTTGAGTTGCCCCTTTCCAGATCCTTTCCTCTCCCTGCAATAAAACCGCACACCCGTTCTTTGATCTCTTGGGACATTCGGGATGACCCCTCCCCATCTTGGATGATATCCTGCATTTAGGGTTAGTTCAGCATATGATGTGAATTATCTGAAGTGACCCCGTAAAGCCCCTGCACTCGGTGGATGTCCGGTGAATATTTCTTCCTGTTACCGCTCTCTCAGCTCAGGGGTCTGGCTCTTACCTCCCTGCCATCAGGTCCACAGGGGTCCGGGGCCTCCGTGTAACCCTGTCCCTCCTTGCATTCCCACACGCTCCGGGCTGCCTCTTACTCCATGTTTTTCCTGAGCGCCCTGTCTCCCCAGACTTCTCCACTCCCTCCTCCTCAGACCTCGGTGGCCCACAGACTTTCGTAACTCTCTCAGCTCCCCAGAACATTAATAGCACCGGGCGGGTGTGTCTGACTCCTTTCATGCTTCCTGTGGTTGGAGCGTCCTGTGTGGTAGCGGAGAATGGCTGTGCATTGAAAACGCTGTTCTACTTCCGGAGACTTAAGAAGCACATGGCTCCTCACCAGCCTGGAAAGTCTTGGCTGACAATTTGGCCTCAGTTCCATCCACTGCCTGCTTCCTTCTCCGTGGGCTCTCTTCCCACCCCTCATACAAGTCCTGCTCCTAACCAAGCCGTTCCCAAAGGAACAGTCCGCTCAGCGGAGCCACAGGGACGGGGCAGGGGTGGTGCCCAGGAGACCTGGCGTAGGTCCTGGAGTCCTCCTGAGAGACTGGCGGTGAACCAGATCTGGTCTCCATCGGGAAAGCTTCTGACCCTGAGACTCAGGAACTGCATGTGTCCTCCACTTCAGGTGGAAAAAGGGGACCGAGCCGGTGTCGAGTGTCCTCTCATCGAGGCCACCAAGGAGCAGTTTGAGGTAAGGGTCACAGACTGAACTCCAGGGTCTCCTGGAGGCCACAGAGCAGGTGGGACAGCGCTGGGATGTTGGGCTCACTCCTGAAATTGCTTCCATGATGCAGAACTGCTCTTGATTTGCTGTGTGTCATTTTCAGATTGTTCAATCCCTCCAGGACTCGGGTATGAGAAAGGATGGATAAATCACAGGAATGAGGCCTCACAGTTCTTAGGCCTGGGGCAGGAGTACCGCACACGTGCCAGGCGAGGCAAATGCTTTGCCACTGAGCTACATACACGGCCCCAGTTCAGTGCAATTCATTCCTGGAAGGCAAAGTGTATGACACAAAGTGAGCGAAAGTTGAGCAACGGCCCATGTTTGTGATTCTTGTCATTCAAAGCCAGTGCAACTAACAAATGTTTGCTGGACCCTCACCCCTTGCTCTTTTGGATTGACCTGGGGTGGGGAGGGTACCGGGAATCGAACTCAGGGCCTTGAGCTTGCGAGGCAAGCACAGCACCACTGAGCTAAATCCCCAGCCATAACCCTTGTTCTTTTTAATCTATAAAGCTGAACCCCTCCAGTGCCAGTCAGGGCCCTGATTCTGCACAGTGAAAATCCCCGACTCCTGGTGGCCATTCTCACCTCACTTTGAATTAACTGTTGGCTCCCCTGTGCTGTCCTCAGTTCCCCCTCTAGGTTGCCTCCTAGCCTCACCTGGCCTAAGTGCGGAGACCCTTTGACCCGGCCGCAGGGTGGTGGCCAGGCCTGCATGCAGGGCAGGCTTTGGTTGTGCTGCCAGGGTGGCCTCAGAGAACCTCAGGAGAGGACAAGGGGAACCTGCCAAGGGCCAGGAAGGGGGCTGACGCCAGGGCTGAGCAGAGGGGACCAATTTCCTCCCATGGGTGTCCAGGTCGTGAGGGAGAACCTGGAGCAGAGGCCACGTAGGTGGCGGTGAGGCTGAGTCCGCTGCACTGTGGCTGGGAGCTGGGGTTCTTGTCCCCCAGCCCAGGTGGCAAGAAGGGGCCAGCAGGGGCTCAGAGGAAGCTGCCGGCTGCAGTGCCCCAGGAGCCTGTCCGCTCCTGACCCTGCCTGGTATGGAGATCAGGTGGCGGGTGTCAGGGGAGCTGAGAACAGGTTTCCAGCCAAAGGAAGCCGGGACACCTGCACTGGAGGTGCAGGCCAAACCCTCAGCCTTGGCTGCGCCCACAGCTTCTTCTTTAGGCAACTGACAGGTGAAGAGATTCTTAGAGAACAGAATGGAAATTTGACTCTTTGATTGGGGCAGGGAGACAGGAAAACCCACAGACTCGGGAGGGGCTAGGCCGGTGGGTCCATCACCTTTCTGTCGCCGTGACAACATACCTGAGAAAGGGGTGTTTGGGCCCCGGGTTTCAGAGGCCTCAGTCTGTGGTCGCCGGCTCCGTGGCTCTGAGTCCGGGTGAGGGGAACATCATGGTGGGGGCATGTGGTGGAGCAACGCGGCTCAGCTCATAGAGGACAGGGGTGGGGGAGAACTACACGCATCCAGGGTGCCAACAATATGCCCGTCAGAGGCCCCTGTGACCTCTGCCTCCCCTCGTCCCCACCCCCTGAAGGTCCCATCACCTCCCGATGGCGCCACCCGTGGGGACCAAGCCTTCAGCCCAGGACGCTTTGGGGTCTGTCCTCATCCACAGGCCCACACCAGGCCTGCTGGGAGAACGCGTCTCTGTTCCTGGTCAGAACTGGCAGCGGGGAGGGCACCGCCAGGGGCAGAGCTGGAGTCCAGGAGCAGGTGCAGGCGGGGTGGGGTGGGGGAGGCCTGTGTGGGAGTCAGGCGCTCGCACACTTACCCTGCAGTTCCACGTCACGGGCACGTTGCGTGTGCTGGGAGGCGGGAGAGCTGAGTGTTTGTGTATCCTGGTCTGGCTGCTGGTGACTGGTGGCCCCGCCCCCAGGGTTAGCATATAAGCCTTGAGCTCTTCCTCCTTTCTTGCCTCTGCAGTTCAGAACTGCAGACAGCTGTGATGGGCCCCCGCCCAGGAGCCCCCCGTCTCTGCTGGGCCTCATGGCTCCTCGGGGCCATCGCTTTCCTCAGTGAGTAGCCGGGATCTCGGGAAGGGAGGAGGCCCTGGGACGACTGGAGTCCTGCAGTCCTGGAGGCTGTTGGCCTCCTAAGGCTTTGGGGACAAAAAGGGAAAGTCCCTGTGCTAAGGTGGAGACCGCGGCATGGTAGCTGAATCCCGGATGAGTGGCGAGGGAACTGGCTTTTGGTGTGGAAGAGGCTAGGGATCCTGACTTAGGCGGCTTTGTGTGCTCAGAGGGATCTTTCCCAGGTGCAGCTGCCTGTGTTCGTGAGCAGGGAGAGGCAGGGGTGGCCTGGGGACAGCGATGGAGACCACGACAGGGGCCTGTCTCGGGGACACAGCGGGGAGGACGCGTTGTCCCGGCCCAGGACGGGGTGGGTCCTCAGGCCGCGCTGCTGCCCTGTGAACACAGCCGAACCGGCACCCTGGGTCTGAGCTGAACCCAGCGGCAGGCCTGTTGTCGGGAGCGGGGAGAGGCAGGGGTGGCCTGGGGACAGCGATGGAGACCACGACAGGGGCCTGTCTCGGGGACACAGCGGGGAGGACGCGTTGTCCCGGCCCAGGACGGGGTGGGTCCTCAGAGGGATTTCCCAGGTGCAGCTGCCTGTGTTCGTGAGCAGGGAGAGGCAGGGGTGGCCTGGGGACAGCGATGGAGACCACGACAGGGGCCTGTCTCGGGGACACAGCGGGGAGGACGCGTTGTCCCGGCCCAGGACACGGTGGGTCCTCAGGCCGCGCTGCTGCCCTGTGAACACAGCCGAACCGGCACCCTGGG